ATGACTGGGAGGACACGGAGGAAAGCAGACATGCGTGTGAAGTCAGGAGCTGGTTTGAGGGTTCTGAGTGCTGCGGCAACCAAAGCTGAACGGCCAAGGCTAAGACCGAGGTTTTTGAAGCACTCATTTTATTTTATTTTTGTATATTTATTTATTTTAGTTTTTCTTTTTGTCTTTTTCTTTCTCTTTTTTTTTTTTTTTTTTTGGAGGGGGGTGTTCAAGACAGGGCTTCTCTGTGTAACAGCCCTGTCTGTCCTGGAACTAGCTCTGTAACCCAGGCTGGCCTCAAACTCACAGATCTGCCTGCCTCTGTCTCTCAAGTGCTGGGATTAAAGGCTATGCCACCACTGTCTGGCTTCACTCATATTTTAAAAACCAAAGGATTTTAAGTAGAGTTATGGTTCTCATTGAGCACGCACCGTGAGGCCCCAGCGCTGAGGCCCAGTATGGCTGCTGCGCCGGGAGGCAGACTGAGGTGCGGATACATTGATGGGCAAACTAAGACTTACAATCTGGTGGGAGGAGATGTGGGCGTGTAAGTCTGTGTCAGTTTGTACTGAGGACAGTGAAGAGATTCAGGGCAGCACGGGAAGGTGGAAACAGACTCAGGGCTGAAGTGGAGGAAGAGCAGAAAGGTCATTTCCAGTGTTGGAGGGAGGCCAGGGTAGAGTGGAGGGAAGAGGAGGTGGCCCAGGATGCTGTCCGGGAGGACTGCTCTGCTGAGGGACAGGCTGGTGTAGAGCATCTAATAGGAGGGTGTGCCTGCAGGAGTCACTGGGTGAGCACACATGGAGGGCAGGAGCAGCCCAGGGGGGTGCAGGAGGGCGCGCTAGAGGGGATCAGGAGTCACTGGGTAAGCACACATGGAGGGCAGAAGCAGCCCAGGGGGGTGCAGGAGGGCGGGCTAGAGGGGATCAGGAGTCACTGGGTGAGCACACGTGGAGGGCGGGAGCAGATGGTGGTGGAGAGGTGGTGCAGGGTCCTGGACATCCCGTCCTCCATCTCCGAAGAAAACCCCTAAATTCAGTTTCACTTCTTTGCTATCCCCTGCTGACTGCATCCTGACCTGCCTCACCTCATCGCCTGGCCTTTGGACGCTGTCTCCTTGTGCCCTGTCCCTCACTGCATTGACCTTTCCCAGGAGTCACTGGGCGACTCTGTCCTCTCACTTAGGTGGTTGTGGCAACAAACATTGCAGAAACGTCGCTCACCATCGAAGGCATCATTTATGTGCTGGACCCAGGGTTCTGCAAGCAGAAGAGCTACAACCCCCGGACAGGCATGGAGTCTCTCACCGTCACGCCCTGCAGCAAGGTCAGCCCGCATCTCTGTGAGGTCCAGGGAGGCAGATTGTCCCCCAGAGCATTTGAGGACAGAGTGCAGTGGTCTAAATACTCCAGACTTTTGAGTCAACACCTCCCTGGCTGTGTGTTTGCCTCTGCTTTCTTTCTAGGCCTCAGCCAATCAGCGGGCTGGTCGTGCAGGTCGGGTGGCTGCAGGGAAGTGTTTCCGCCTGTACACAGCCTGGGCCTACCAGCATGAGCTGGAGGAGACCACAGTTCCCGAGATCCAGAGGACAAGCCTGGGCAACGTTGTGCTGCTGCTGAAGAGCCTAGGTGACTGGGCTGCCCGGGTCCTCCATCCTGCGGGGGCAGGCAGGGGAGGGGGTGGGCGCTGAAGCTCGGGGAGGACTCTAGCTCAGGGAGGACTCCCGTCCACTCTCCATCCTGCCAGGGCGGGCGGGCGCTGGAGCTCGGGAAGGACTCCTGTCCACTCTCCGTTCTCTGCAGGGATCCATGACCTGATGCACTTTGACTTCCTGGACCCTCCACCCTATGAGACCCTGCTGTTGGCTCTGGAACAGCTGTATGCACTTGGAGCCCTCAACCATCTTGGAGAACTCACCACGGTGAGGAGACAGCGTAGGCTGGGACTGGGTGAAGGAGAGTCTGAAGGCTTTGGGAACCCCCGTGTGTTGCCAAGGACTCTTGTGGTGGGAGGAACCTGAGGAAAACCAGCCTCACCTTTCCCTTTCTTTGTTTTAGTCTGGTCGAAAGATGGCAGAGCTGCCTGTGGATCCTATGCTGTCTAAAATGATCTTAGCCTCTGAGAAGTAAGTCTCACCCACCAGCTCCTGGCACAAACTGGCCACACCACCTCGGTCTCAAGTGCCATCTCTCTCTTCTCTTCATCATGTTTTTTTTTTGTTTGTTTGTTTTGTTTTTTGTTTTTTGTTTTAAATAAATGTTATTTAAGAAGTCTTTAGCCGAGCAGTGGTGGCACACATCTTTAATCCCACCACTTGGTAGTCAGAGGCAGGCGGATCTCTGTGAGTTCAAGGCTAGACAGTTCCAGGACAGCCAGGGCAGTTCAGTAGAGAAACCCTGTCTCAAAAAACATACAAACAAGTAAGATAGAGAGAGATCAGAGACCTCTGTCCATTCTCGTTTGTCCTTTGACGTCTTGCTGTGACCTCATCTCTTGCTGCCCTCCCCAGGTACAGCTGCTCAGAAGAGATCCTGACAGTGGCCGCTATGCTGTCTGTCAACAATTCCATCTTCTACCGTCCCAAGGACAAGGTCGTCCATGCAGACAATGCCCGCGTCAACTTCTTCCTCCCTGGCGGGGACCACCTGGTTCTGCTAAATGTGTACACACAGGTCACTGGGAAAGTGGGAATTTGGGAAGTGTGGGATACTTCTTTTTTGAAAGATTTATTATTCTGTATACAGTATTCTCCCTGCATGTACACCTGTAGGCCAGAAGAGGGAACCAGATCTCATTACAGATGGTTGTGAGCCACCATGTGGTTGCTAGGAATTGAACTCAGGACCTCTGGAAGAGCAGCCAGTGCTCTTAACCACTGAGCCCTCTCTCCAGTCTTAAGCTTCCTTCTGTCCTGATGTGTAAAGCTTAAGGCTTCCATCCTTGCAGTGGGCTGAGAGCGGCTACTCTTCCCAGTGGTGCTATGAGAACTTCGTACAGTTCAGATCCATGCGCCGAGCCCGGGACGTGCGAGAGCAGCTGGAGGGGCTCTTGGAGCGCGTGGAAGTCGGCTTGACTTCCTGCCAAGGAGACTACGTTCGTGTGCGCAAGGTTAGGGTTCTTGTTGTTAATGTTTTGTCTTTTTTTTTTCCTCTTTTTGTTTTTTTTCAAGACAGGGATTCTCTGTGTAACCATGGCTGTCCTGGAACTCGCTCTGTAGATCAGGCTGGCCTCAAACGCATGGAGATCCACCTGTCTCTGCCTCCCAAGTGCTGGGATTAAAGACGTGCCACCACTGCCCGGCTTAGATGAGTGCTTCTTAAACCCACTTCTGAGGGCACACAGCAGTTCCCCTGCCTCAGCTCTTCCCTGGTGTTCCGGGAGCCCAGACAGCACGTCCGTGGGCTCCTCACCGTTCTGGTTCTCCAGAAACCTGAGCTCGGAGGTGCAGGTGAGCGGCCCCCAAATGGTGCCTAACCGTATTTTCTTGCCTGCTCCTTAGGCCATCACTTCGGGTTATTTTTACCACACGGCAAGGCTGACTCGGAGTGGCTACCGCACAGTGAAGCAGCAGCAGACAGTGTTTATCCATCCCAACTCCTCTCTCTTTGAACAGCAGCCGCGCTGGTTGCTCTACCACGAGCTTGTCTTGACAACAAAGGAGTTCATGAGACAGGTGAGGGACTGGCTTGCTCAGATGGGAGAGACCGGGGAGACAGTATGCTGTCATCTTATGCTCAATTCATATTTCTGGGACTAGCATTGAAACAAGGTTTATTAGTTTAAGTGTAATAAAATTTAATGTATGCTTGGGGTGTAGTCAGTGGTAGTCCCTGGCACCATTACAAATAAATATAAAAAATATTCTCTTGCAATTGTTAATGCCTTCAATAAATACATGAAGCTGTGCCTAAAGGCACGGGTCTGTAGTCCCTGGTGCTCAGGATGGGGCGGGAGGACACACATTCGAGGTCTGCCTAGGTAAGGTAGAACGTGGGTCTGGAGCGATGGCTCAGTCGCTTAGAGCATGCTCAGAGCACGCGCTGCTGCTGCAGAGGACCCAGGTTCAGTTCCCAGCATCCATAAATTAAGCAACCCACAGCTGCCTGTATCCAGTTCCAGGGTCCTCCGTCAGCCTCGTCTGGTCTCTGCAGGTTCTGCGGTCACACACACTCAGACACCCACACACACATATCATAATAGAACTAGAGAGATGGTTTCACAGTTAAGAGCACTGACTGCTCTTCTAGAGGACCTAGGTTCAATCCCCAGCACCCACATGGTGGCTCACAACTGCCTCTAACTCCAGTTCCCAGGGGATCTGACACCCTCTTCTGGCCTTCTTGGGCACCAAGTATGCAGGTAATATGTAAACATGTGCAGGCAAAACACTCATACACATAAAAAATGTTTTAAATGTGGAAGAAATTTAGAGGGAGGGCTGAGGATATCTCAGTGACAGTCTTCTGTAGCAAGCATGAGAGCTTTGGTTCCTCTCCCAAATCAATAAAACGTGCACTCAGTACCGGGACTGGAGAAGCAAACGAAGCAGCTGACGTCTGCCCCGACGGACAGGCTTCTCGGGACTCACCTGCTGTCTGAAGCACATCAGGGTGTCTGCCGTTAGCATGAAACATAGCCAGGTGCCTTTTCCTTGCCCTCAGTCAAAGGGGAAAGAAAAGCCTTTTTAACCACACAATTAAGATTCTGGTTTGGAAGTAAAGGAATTCTGTTGCTCTCTGTTCCCTCGAATAGGTACTAGAGATTGAAAGCAGCTGGCTTTTGGAAGTGGCTCCTCACTACTATAAGGCCAAGGAACTAGAAGATCCCCATGCTAAGAAAATGCCCAAAAAAGTAGGCAAGACACGAGAAGAACTGGGCTAGAAGGTGACGGACTGGACCACACAGCTTCCTTTTTCTTCCATACTTTATTTAATATCTACTAAATAAAATTATTTTTGGAATGAAGCATGTAGGAACTTTGGGACCCAGAGAAAGTGACATGAAACTGTACCTTGTTGTTTCCTTAAACTTTATTATTTACAAATTAAATTACACAGCAGCTTTACACAGCATGAGATGGGAAGAAGGCAGGAGAGTGGAGGGGAGGTAGCTGGCTCTGGACATTCTTGTCCACCTTCACCTCCTCTTGTGCGCAGCAAACTCTTCATGATGCCTCCACCCAAGCTGGGATCAGGCCTTGGAACACAGGTGTAAGTTGGGCTCTGGTTCTGAGAGCCCCAGGGCCACCAGAGCGCCCACCAGCAGCTTCTTCACAGGTGTCGAAGGTGAGTGTGAAGGCGTCAGCTGCAGAGACAGGTTAATGAGGCTGGGGAGGAACACAGACTGTTCTACCCTTCACCCCGCCCCACCCAGTCCCAACACTCACCTTGTCTAGGTGGTGACGGCAAATGAGGCCACTAGAATTCAGGTAGAAGGTGGAATAGGCATCGAAGGTCCTAGAGAAGGGGGAAGCTTTTTGAGGGGGGTGAGTCATCCTGAGACTTAAGTATTTGTTAAAACGAGTTCCTAAGGTTCGCCATGTGTTCGATCACCTGAACTGCTTTATTGGAGCAGGATCCTGAATCCCAGGTTGACTTCCTACTCTCATCTTGAATACTGGGACCGTCAGTTGCTTCACTATGCCCAGCCACCTAATAATTTAAAACTCCTGATGCTTCCGGGTGCTAGTGGTGCACGCCTCTAATCCCGGCACTCGGGAGGCAGAGGCAGGGGGATCTCTGTGAGTGCAAGGCCAACCTGGTCTACAGAGCAAGTTCCAGGACAGGATCCAAAGTTACAGAGAAACCCTGTCTTGGAAAAAAGAAAAACAAAAAAACAAAAACAAACAAAAAACCCAAAAAAACCCCAAAACCTCCCAATGCTCAGGTTGAATTCAGAGCAATCGAATCGTAACGCCCCTTCTGCAGAAGACCTTGGATTACTGTCCCATGCAGCGAAGCTGGTGAACCACCAGTTGTTACCGTGTGGGTGGGCGGCAGGTGCATGTGCCATAGCAGAGGACGACCTGGGGAGCCGGTCCTCTCCTCCCAGCATGTGGGTACCAGGTACTGAACTAAGCTGCTTGCCAGACTTAGAAGCAAGCTTCTTGTCACCAAACCATCTCACTGGCCTAGAAACCATTTAAACTCTGACGTACGATGGTGGAGGCTGAGCCTAATAAGTTTGGGGGATGTTCCAGCCAGAAACCTGTGTACTTCACCCAGGGTCCTGAAACTAAATTTAGGATGCAGTATTTTATTCATTTGTTTTTTTGAGATGGTTTCATATAGTCAATGCTGGCCTTTAACTCCTGATCCTCCAGGAAGCGGGAATATTTTGTTCATTAAGAACGTACCACGTGTCAGGTCCAAGTAGCAGAGGAAGAAACTTACTCTGTAGACCAGGCTGGCCTCAAACCCACAGAGATCCACCTGCTCTGCCTCCCAGGTGCTGGGATCAAAGGCGTCACCACCACCGCCCAGCTCTGACTGGGGTTTCTTAATAAACACAAAAATCTATTAATTTTATTAAAAGTAGACTGGACAATCGATATGGTTTTGAGTACAGGTGCTTGCAGGCAAGCCGGTTTACTGAGTTCAATTCCCAGGATCTACGCAGTAGAGAGAACTGATTCCCACAAGCTGTCTTCTGAACCATCACTTACATGCTATGACGTGTACCGCCACATGCACACCCAAACCTTTACTTATATGATATAATGTGTACTATACATGCACATAAACACAAAGTTTTTAATGATTTTTAAAGGTTTATTTACTTATGTATACAGTGTTCTGTCTGCATGTCTGCTTACAGGCCAGAAGAGAGCACCAGATCTCATTATAGATGGGTGTGAGCCACCATGTGGTTGTGGGAATTGAACCCAGGACCTCTGGAAGAGCGGCCAGTGCTCTTAAACTCTGAGCCATCTCTCCTGCCCCCCCAAAAATAATTTTAAAAAAATTAAAAAAATAGACAATTTTAAGATTTATTTATTAAGTATACAATGTTCTGTCTGTATGTATGCCTGCAGGTCAGAAGAGGGCACCAGAACTCAGAATCATTAGATGGTTCTAAGCTATCATGTAGTTTCTGGGAAGTGAATTCAGGACCTCTAGAAGAACAACCAGTGCTCTTAACCACTGAGCCCACTCTCCAGCCCCTCCAGTTCCCCTCAGGAACTCTACAGTCAAATCAGAATAACTCAAGCACTGTTGGGAAACAAGACTGTAGTGGCATTTCATAAATAAAGCTTGCCTGAAGATCAGAGAGTAAAGCAGCCCCACTGGTCAGCCTTACAGTGGTGACACACACCTTTAATCCTAGCCCTAGAGATATTCTTATCCTGAGATTCCTGGAGGCAGGATGGCCACTTTGGACTGAGGTAGAGATAAGAGCCAGTGGCTGGCTGTTCTGCTTTTCAGATCTTCAGGTTGAACCCCAATTTCTCTGAGTTTTTAATAATCGTGCATCACAAGATGACCAACTCACAAAGGAGGACTATTAGAGAAGTCGTTACAGCTCGGGCCCTCTTACCGGTAGAGCTCTTCTTTATCACGCCTGTAGAAGCGCAGGAAGAGCATATGTATGGGCAGACCTACTAGCCTCCAGCGGGCTTGCAGGGTCCAGTTCTCAGGGTGGCGGGTCAGCTGTAGGATCTCCAACCGAAACTGTGCAAAATAGTTCCAAGCCAGGAAGCGGCAAAAGGTCAGAGACATAACGTACCATGTCCGGCCCCTGTGAGAATCGAAGGGACAGGGTCATCAGGACTGCAGAACTAGAAAGCCAAACTGGCTTCTGTCCAAGGAGTGGGGAAGAGTCTCGAGAAGCATCCTAGAACCTTCTCTGAGACAGGGCTCGAGTATCGAGCACTGGGCCCTCTTCTCCCTCCCTCGCCCCGACTCTCACTTGGTACGGATGTTCAGGATCTCATTGGTGAACTCCACATCCATTGAATAGAGAGTGTAGTCATGGGAGCGAAGAAAGAGAGTAGGAAGCTAGGCGGAAGAAGATGGAGTCAGCTCAGCAGGAAAGCAAAGATCCATTTTAGGATATATCTAATTTACTTTTGAGACAGCACGCGTAGCCCAGTCTGGCCTTGAACTTGGAATCTTCTACCTCAGCCTCCTGAGTGACAGGCCTGTCACCCTGGTTTGGCTCATTTCTCAGTTATCTATTTTTAGGGTCTAACTTCCACTCCCACCTGCGACCGAAAGGTCATCTCCAGTTTAGCTGTCCTTGATTCCAACTGAGGGACACCCGTTTCCCCAGGAAGCTACTTCACAGCACAGTTCTACGCCTGCCCAGTGCTGCCATGACTTCAGTTGGCTAACTTGCCTCCATATTCTTTCCCATCCCCGATGGACTGCTTACCTCGTGTCTCAGTTTCTCATGCATGACAGCCAGGTGCTCCTCCATACTCTGATCTCTTGACTGGGTGTCAGGAGAAGGACGGGAAGCTCCAGGGGCTTGGAAAGGTATCAAAGCCCCAGGATAGGGGCAAGGGGGTCCCTCAAAAAAAAGGCTCCTAAGCCCATCCAGACAACCATTGTGCAACTCAGGTCCTGGTCCCTCCTCCCTCTTTCCCAGAGGAAGAGCCACCCACAATGAGTTGAGAGCCTGAACCTGAGAGAGAGGTGGTGGGAGAGCCTGAGGAGGAGGGTGGGTGGGAGGATGTGGGGGTGGGAGTGACCAGAGAAGAGGAAGGGATGGAGAAGCGGGTGGAGTGGAGTGGGACCAGATGGGTGGGAATGGTAGAGTCCGAGGAGAAAGCTGGTCCTAGCGAAAGAACAGGAAAAAAAAAAAAATCAGATGTCTAAGCTAGTCATGGCGGTACTAGGAAGGCAGAGGCAGGACTGCCCATGAGTCCCCGGCCTGCCAGGACTACACAGTAAGACCTAGTTTCAAAAACCAAACAAATAAATAAAATCAGATGTCTAATGCTTCACTGAAGCTGGGCTGTTGACAAGCTGCACGTCCTACCTGCTCCTCTGGCAGAAGAGAGGATTACTAGAGGAAAGAGGATGGCCTCATCACTATCTCCAATGCACACACAAGGAAAGGGTGTCACATGACAACAGGACCAGGGCCACCTCCCCAACTTTAGAAAAAGCACCTTTACATTTCCACCCCCCCACACACACCGGTCGGAGCCAGTTTTGCATCTCTGACTCCACGAATTAATAAGAATATGTTTTATGAACGAATGAAGAACCGGTTTATTGTATCATGGATGAAGTGATGTGACCCACAACCTGTGTTCCTGACTCTGAAACTGTGCTGGGAAAGAACACAAAGGTGAAAGGTACAAAAGATGGTTCCGAGTCTACTGGAACCTCCACGACTCTCCCTGCGCCTCCGTGACAGTATGAGGACTATACAGGATGAGGAATGTAGATTAAACCTCACCATCCATAAAGTAGTACATAAAAGGGAACTATCATTTTGGACTCCTCGAAATGACATAATCCTGGCCGACCGCTAAGGCGTGAATTCCTCCGGTCACTAACTGTTACTACAAGGATGGCAGGTCACGACTAGGTCACGACTGATTCCAGGTCCCTTGGCTCCCGGGGAACCCCAGGGGCAGGGGTACCCCGGTGCCCGGTCTTGCCCTCCAGGGGCCTTCCCTGCCGGGGGCGTGGCACTCGGGAGCCCGAACAGGTCCGCGGGGCCAGCCTAGCAACCGTGGACCGCTCTGCAGGTGCAGCGCAGGCCCGCAGTTCCGGTCTCTCCGCCCTGTCCTTCAAATCACCTCCAGGCACAGGTAACGGCGGGAGGCTGGCGCGCGGCGCTGCACCTCAACGGAGACGCCGGTCCCCAGACCCCGTTGGTCTCCGCCAAGCCCGCGCCCCCTAACGCGTGAGGCGCCGGCCTGGGAAGG